TGCTGAAGTGGCCCTCGGTGAAATTGAGTTTGACACCCCTGCTTTAAAGGATGAAGACCTAACAAGTGACTTTGGCTCTAAAGTTCAAAAACGTCTGTCCTTCGTTGTCTGACTTACTCACTTGGACTGGTATGAGTAAGCAGGAACGTGATCGGCACTGTCCACCTGGATCTGTTGCTGCTGGCCAGCCACCTCCTGTGATGAAGGAGCCACCGTCTGGGGTGAGGCATCTGTCACCACTCCCTGGAAGAGAGGCACAGGACATTCCTGGGCTGAGTAAGACCTCTGTGTGACAGCATCAGGCTACTCTCTGTGTGTGTGTGGTGTGTATTTTTACTTTTTTTTTTTTCCCTCTGTCTTTTTAACACAAATAAACAAACCAACAATCAAACATGGCAGAGTTTGATTCCAGGTAGGAATTTACCTGGTGCTTTCCTCAAAACCAAAACCTTTCTGGAATTCACCAGTTGTTTTTTTCTTAGCAGGTCCTTTCCTAGAACCCTCAAGGTAAGCTGGATATTACAAGGTACTTTCTGGAATTTACCAACAAGTTATCTAGAACTTTCATGAAGCTTAGTGGATAGTTTCAACATCTGGGATGAACTATGAGTTGTTTTTCCATGAGGTGCTTGCAAAAACGTACCACATACTAAGGTTCTTTATGGAATTTATTAGATATTTTCTAGAAATCCTTCCCAAAATATAGTGGGTATAGGTTTCAGTCCCTTTTCAGTTACCAACAACTGAAAAGGGTTGGTACTTAGAAAGTTTCTGGTAAGTAATTAGTGTGTTGTAGGAAATATACCTGGGAAAAGTTTCAGAGTAAGCATTCTGCAAGTTCCTCAAAGTACCTAGTAAGTCTGAAAACAACATACATTGTAAGTTTGGGGAAAGTTCTGGGGAAAGTAGAGCTTGTGCTCATTGTTCATCAAATAAACTACAAAATAAACCACTCGTAAATGTGAATTCTCTCTTATTTGGCTGAACAGATGTTTGTGACTTGGCTCAGTTTGTGTTTGGGGTGAAAAACTTCTTTACAGATGGCTGTCTGCTCTAAATCCATCACAACAACCCTTTTAGCCCTTTGTATGTGTCGAGCGTTACTGATTGAGCCCATCACCGAGTCATCTCGATCACCTTTAACAAGCTCTCAAGGATAAGATGTCCTGTCCATACATCAGCCCTGCAGTCACCGGCCGATACAGTGATCTACACCCCGCTGCCGACGCCGGGACTGAGAGGACAGCGGTGCGGATGAAATAAGAAGAGGACGCCGAGGGCTATGCTACATCTACATCCCTCTTCTCTGTGCGACTCCTTCAAAAGCCAAGGCAGCAACTTTCTGAGGTGGAGGGGTGGGGAGTCTAAAGGGGTAGAAAATAGAAGAAGAGAGGGGCGACTAATGGATGTGTCAGGGGAAACTGTCATTGTCCGGTGGCTGGCGGGGGCTAACCAGGCCTCTGCGGCTGACGGATGTTTCAGGTAGCTACCGGCTCGAAGCGGCTGCGGGAGGGAGAGAGAGGCCGCTCCGCCGGCGCTGTGTCTCACTTCAGCTCCTGTCATCTGATACACGACTGATAGTCCATCTGAATATGACCGCACTGTCAGCCGCCAGACAGCTCGCCCGCTCTCCCCCGCTGCCCGCCCGCCTACCGGCGCTACACGTTCATCATTTTTCAGAGCAGACTGCCCGAACCTGCCAGGAGCTCAGACAACCACCGAGGAGGAGAGGAAGTCTGTGCTGCACTTCAAATGCCTTTCCCCAAATACTATCAAACTTCTGACTCATTCTGCTTTGCTTGCACTTTTTGTACTTGTTATTTTCTGGTCTGGGAAAACTGTTAGAAAATACTGTGGGGAATATAATCGTAATTCGGCACTTTTCATTTGATGACTGTTCTGCTTTATGTTCTCACATTTTTTTTCCACATAACACCAACAAATGTTAATGTACTTCATCTGGAATTTATGTAAAGAGATCAAAACAAAGTAGTGCACGCTTATGAACTGGAAAAATTTCAAGTCACAATAAGAATAGTGTGGTGATGAAATATTTTTCTGGCCCGATCTGTGTCAGCTCATAAATGTGAGAACTTTCATTCTCTGTAATTACAGCAGCATGGTTTTCAGAGTACGTGTCTATCAGCTTTCATTTCTTGCCACATTTGACTTCAGCCATCGTTCCATCAAGTCTCACCTTGTTAAAGATGAGTAATCCCACAGCATAATGCTGCCACACCCGTATTCCACATTTGGGATGATCTGCTCAGCAGAATCTGTTGTGTTAGTTTCCTGCTACACACATTGTCTATGAAGGCTAAAAATGAACTTCCTCCACATGTGCGTTGTGTTCTCTTGATGCCTTTCTTTAAAAGCCAGATTTGTACTTTTCCTTTTCCCACCCGAGCGTCGGACCTTTGCAGCTGTTCCAGCGTTACTTTTTCTCCATTTAATATTCTCCTTCGCTGGCCTGCCAGTTTAAGAAAGCAGGTTTTGGAAAGTTCACAAGTGTACCATGTACTTTCCATTCTTGGATGGACTGGACTTTGTTAGAAGTCCAAAGCTTGAGACATTGTTTGACAACACAACAGTGCTTTAAACTTCTCCAAGTCTTTTTCTTTCACCTGTTGCCTACTTTTCTTGGTGCTGTTGTTGTTCACTAATTTTGCTTTGTTAGAAAACAAAATTAGTGAACAACTTGTGTATATTGAAGCTGAGAACACATTACACATAGTGGACTGTATTTACTGTTTATATGAGTTCATGTTAAGGAGTCTGAGTAAAGAGGACTAAATGAAAATGCCTCCGATTTCAAAATGTAAAATATGCTAAGAAAAAAAAAACTATTTAGTGAAGTGAGAAAAATCTAAGTGTATAATTTTGCAGGGTTATGTAATGTTATCCCTCGTTGCTTTTCATGTTTTTAAGCGTGTGTGTGGGTCTTACTTCGACAGGGACGGCTGTTGGAGGCACAGGAGTGTACTGGGGAATGTAGGTCCCTTGCATAGGTGCAGCGGCGGCAGCTGCAGCAGTCATGTACTGAAACACAATAACAAAAAATTTTTTTTAAAAAAACTTGCATGTAGTTAAACAAAATCCTTTCAGAAGAAAATTCCTAAGACACTCATTAAAATCACAAATCCCAGAAACATATTAGAGCTGAAATACATTCCTGACATCAAAAGCAGATCGTAATACTTCCCCGGAACACTCATTCAACGTAATTATTCCCACAACTATTAGGAAAGCCCACACTGCTATGCTCTGTGAATCCTTCAGAGGGCGCTAAGAGAATACGAGTCCACCAAGAGGCGAGCGTAGCAGATCAGATAAGAGTGTAACGGAAAGAGAGGAAAAGGAGGAGGGGGAGATGTCCTGCTGTCCCGCCACAACTTCAAAAGGCCAAGCAAATACACCGGGTAACTGCTAAAGAGATAAAATAATAATAATAATAATAATAATAAAAAGAGTAAAAAGGAATTAACTGCTTGTGAAGGAGAGCGGGAGGTTTGTAGTCTGTGGCCTACATTCCTTTAGTCACGCCTGCCTTGGTTTTAAACAGGCTCGCTGTACGGTGGGCATTTTACAGCGATGACCCGGTTTGCTGACATGTCAGGCATCGGGGCTTCCACACGCAATGCAGAGGAGGCTTTTCCCGCTGAAAGCCTCAAGATGGGCCCGGTTTTAATTAGAACACGCCTTCATCAGTTCTCGTCAACGCAACTGTGCGTATCAGTGTCTGCGTGTGTTCTCGCGTGCAGCTGGACGCGCGACACATTCATCACGTGCTCCTGCCTCTCTGTGCTTGAAAGAACGACAAAGACAAAGAGGCTTGGAACGATAATGTTGTGGTGCAGCGCCAACGGATGTGATCCGAGATAAAAAACCGCCGGGGAGCTTCCCCTCTTCTTCCTGCTGCCTTCCGGACTGAGGGAGAAGGGAGGTCCGATTTGTTTTCTCTCTCTTTTTTCCCCCCCCCCAACATCTCCCCCCTCCGCCTCTCCGTCCTTGTTGGACGGCAGCGACGTGCAGCAGGAGGCGGTAATGGAGGGGTTTACAGCGGGCTGCGAGGCCCTTTTTGGCTGCGGGCCCGCCGATGCTGGTAGAGTGTCATTACCGGCAGCGTTGCTAATGGATCGGGTACGGCTCCACCGCTCACCGCTAATGAGAGCAGCTAAAGGCCACGGACACGGGTGATTAACTCCCCCACCGTCGCTACGCGGAGCCGGGAGGATGCCCCGGGATGGATGTTAGTCTGTGTTCATCAGCGAGCGTGACCGCACAGGTCTTTGGACATGAATTTAAGGTTATCACACCTCCGGGGCTGTCACACTGAGGACAGGGTGAGGCAGTGTATCCAGACCTCCTGACACATCACATCTTCCCTTCCCTTCTTCCCTCTCACCTTGCTGTCACGGTCTCTTTCTTACTCCTCCCTCCTTCTCAAAGGGGGCCTATCAGATTGTTGAAGTGACCTTCTCCCCGTTGAATCAAAACCATGCATACCAATTTCTTCTTGGGACTTGAGGTCTTCGCCTCTCCTCCTCATTAACTTATTCAGTCAACTCACCTGCAAGGGCTGCATGAAAGCAAATGAAGGAAAGTGAGAGATAATTAGCCATTATCACAATCTCCCTGTCATGGGGAAAATGTCTGTTTGAAATGTGATATTTCTCTGCAGGACTGGGGAAGGAATTTAGAATATATTTAGCAGGAAAATTTAATAAGATAAGATTTTTCCTCTATTATGACCGTTAGTTAACCTATTTAATATGGCAGGTAGAGTAAGTCATATTTCTGCAGCCGCCTGTGTGGCAAGTCGAGGAGATTAACTTTTTTTTTTTTCCCAATTTCAGCTCTCTTAGTATTTCCTTGTCCAGTCAGGGGACAAGTTTGGGTAATATAAAGCATCCCTAATTGGCGATAAATGTTTGGTCACACACATTTACATCTATGCTTATGCACGAACACACGTGGGCCCGGAGCAGATGGTGTGTGTGTATTTTTGATGAACGGTAGGCTTGAATAGCTCCCTAACGAGGCTGGTGTGAGTAGACTCCTTAAGCCTCCCCACTGCCATCACTCTCCATGACACATGCTCATGACTCCTGTGTAAATGTGGACCGCAATGCCACGATGAAAATCCATAGGATAGACTAAAATACACTGTTGCCACAGTGGTTTGGGACTCTGGACCAAAATGACTTGGATCACAATTTATGTTTGGTGGGAGCAAGGAGTGAAGCGGGAGTGTGAATAGAGCAGTTAGCTCACCACCAACAGCAGCCTGGCTAGATGTCCAACAACTGATCTTTTAGGCCACCATATAAAACAATATGCATGGTAGAAAGCTAGCACTGCACATCAGTGAACGTTGGCGGTGGCGGCATCATGCTGTGGAAATGGTTTTCTTAAGAAAAGGCAGAGTAGATTGTCAAAGGCGGAAAATGGATGGGATAGAAGAAATCTAAAGTAATTAAGACAACAATCCTGAACATATGGTCAGAGCAACAATGGTTTAGACCTTAAAAATCATGCATCACTGTGGCCCAGTCAAAGTCCAGATCTTGCCTTGAAAATCTCTGTTTACAGATGTCCTCCAGACAACCTGACTCAACTGAAACCGTTTGGTGAAGAAGAAGAAGAGGGCAATCCCTTATATTCCAATGCCTAATATTAAAGTGCCTCTTTCAAACTCTATCAGTGGAGCAGTGGAGGTTTTATTTGAGCCCAGGAAACCTGAAACGAGGCACAGATGAGTGCGTTTAAGTGTCTGTGTTCCTGCTTCCTCAGCTCTAAGGAGTAGCTGAACTTATGAAAAGGAGTAACATTCGTCCGCACTGCCAGTCTCAGCAGAATGTAAAGAGTAATGATACACCCACTTTCATTTCTATGGTTTTATATATCAAAACAACAGACCTAGTCTTTGCCAGCTTGTAAAATTATTCAAATCCAAACCAACATGCACAAAAACAAACAACAGGTTTCGCTGTTATATTACATGTTGAATGAGGTTAAAGCCAGTAAACATTTGCTGCTTTCCCAAGCTCTAAAAAGCAAATCAGCCACCAGATGCCCAATGCAATTCAGTTACCGATCACCAGCGTGCAGACGTCCGTTTAAGGTTGGCAGTTTGCTGGTCTTGATGCAGGTGAGTGTTCATACGAAGCAAAGATGGGACGGTAAATTAACTTAGAAAATCAATTATTGCTGCCAATCAATCCGAAAAGGGTTTCAAGGCAAAAATCCAAGCAACTTGAAGTCTTTCTTTCTGCAGAGGCAAAGATTATTTACAATTGGGAAACCAGACTGTGCAATGCTCAGGTGATGTTCTTAACGATATAATTATAAAATAACACAATATCATGGCTTAGGAGTGAAAAGCTGAATTTGAGTGAACCATGCATTTTATGAAAAATGGATGGACGAGACGAATCAACAGATCTTTGGAGTAAACCAACACGGCATATGAGCTATACGGGCAAGTGGAGGCTTGATGCTTTGAGTTTGTTTTGTAGCTTCGAGATGTGAGTCAACAATCAACTCAAAAGTACTTTGGAGTCAAAAGTAAGGCTGACTCTCTGACTCCAAGAGTCCAGCAATAAGGAAATGTTGTAAAGAATAGATTGGAACCTTTTTTGCCCATTTGAGTGCAAGGACAGAGGAGAAATGCTACGTCAGTGCGGGAGAAGGTTGGGGAAATAAAGAAAAGGGTAATGTCCTAAGAGATTTAAAGGACCGAGGAGAACAGTTGATATAAAATAAGAAGCTGCTTTGTGCGTCGTCCGGGGAAGCAAGTTGTCAATCACCACCATTACAACGTGGACTTGAATTGTACACGCCTTGACGGGAATAGGATGAAGAGCGCAGAGGGAAGGTCACCTCTTGTCATGTCAAACATCAAGTAGTTCACACACAGATGCAGACACTGACAGCCATGCAAACGCACACAGACACCAGTGACAAAATGACAAAGGGAACATATGCACTTCCACAGACTAACAGGCGCAAACTGGCATGACAGATAGACTCCTGCTAAGTGCTGAGACTTCAAAGACCGTAAATAAATCAGTAACGGAGCAATATGCACCAAACACGGTGTCATAAATCAGCGAGCAGCATGGATGGCATGTTTATGTGGGCCATCCATAAACAGAAAGCCTGAGGTTCTTCAGTATTCTGTAATCAAGTTGTTTGTGCCAAATAGACACCCAACTTTTTCCTGAGAAGCAACTAAAATTCCAAGGCAGTGACCGTTAGGAGCTGGTAATCCACGCTCGCTCGTTATGAAGTACAATTTTCCTCCAGAACCACACAGCAAAATACCACGGCGTTCTCGGAAAGCTCCGGTCACCATCAGAGTGTCACAGCTTGGGCGGACGGAGAACATTCGGTTCTTTTTTTGGAGGGGAGAAGGAAGAAAAACAGCCGCAGCGAGCCCAGGAACAGCCAAGATTATTCTGAGGTGTGGCTTCTCCTGCCAGAGCCAGTCTGGATAAGTTGTTGACTCTGGAGACATTACTCACTGCAGGTGCTCTGCTGTGGCCAGGACAAAGTCATGTGACACAAGCCCCCGCCACCACATGTGCAACTACATCCGATGAATGCGCTTGAAGAATATGTGCCGTCAGCTCCGGTTTACTACACGGACAGTTGAACATCCTGGGCTCTAAGCCCCTGTAACAGGCTTTCACAATTAGGTTGAATGAAAGGCTTTTCACATCTGGCTTAAAAATCAGCTTCACAGGAAACGCGTCTCAATCCCCGTTGATGATCAAGCGTGGCGTGCTGCGTGAGCCGCTCGGCCACAGCGGAGTTCTGCTGCACAGCACATCGCCTCGGGAAAGCCAAGCAGGCAGAAAGGGGGTAAAACCAGACACGGAAAAAGGGAGGAAAAATACCGTAACCTACTTTCTCCTATAACAGAACCCATCAGACATCAGAACCCATCACCATAGATTAGCCAGTCTCTAATCCTGCCTGTTAGCACAGCTGGGGCAGATTAGGATGAGGGGGGCATTCCTGACAGAGCCAACATGGCGTCACAGTCGCTGACAGCTCACCTGGAAACACATGGGTAACTGTACAATACTGCACTGTTTCAATCAAACTCACACAGAGAGATCAAACGTAGCACCGGAGCAAAGCTGTCTGCTTGTCTGCCCCCAGGCAGCTGGGTTAGGGCAGACAGTCAAGCTTCAGAGCGGTGTGACACCTCTAAGTCGACTTGATCCTGAAATGTGGAGGCGGAGGTGGGAGGGGGCGTCTTCTTGATGTGGGGACGGCAACTGTACAGTGAGCCAACGAGCACATTAAGTGCCACTGATGGAGAGATATGTTTGATGTGTGATTTAGAAAGTGTGAGAAAGAATCTGAAATCAGAGGGTGAAAGTGAAAAGGGTGGAGAGCAGAGGGAGTAAGCTCCACAGGAAATCTGTTTAATGTCGAAGATTAGGGAGGAAATACGCTCTCTCAATATCTCGCAGTGAATGCAAGCGGTTTAAAACTAAATAATATGACAGATTTATGGCTGAGAACATGTGGCGACAGACTAAGGCTGTTTGGCTTTTCCGAGAGGAAGCGTTAAAACCTCTCACTTTAGTTCAGAAACTCACTTCGGAGTTTCTGAAAAAAAAAAGAAAAAAAAATGTTTTCAAAGATAAAAATGGCAACAAATTAGTCGACCTAATTTCAATCCCGTCAGCAGTGCAGTTTTGGAGCAATGGTCACACTTCCTGATGATCAAATAATAAATACATTTGATTAACTGCTCCTGGCAGCTACTGGCGTATTAATTTCTAATGAAGCAGGAAGAGACTGGTTAGTTTTACACAAACTGTGTTTTCCAGCGTTTATCAAAAAATTATGCCACGGTGTAGTATGTCAGATACTTATCTCATGCAGTATTTTTGGACATATTGAGAATTACAAGTTCTTTGCTTTGCAGGATTTGAAGTTATAAAAGTTATTTTAGGTCAAAAATTATAGTCAATATGCGACTAATACATTGTCCAACTACATTAAACCAATTATATGGTTCATCATCATTCACTGGATGAGCTGCAGTCAGATCTCTTATCAAATGTTTAAAATCTAATAACTAACGTGTCATGCATAAAATCCAGGCTCCTTTGCTTTTTTTTTTATATCTTGTTGGCAAGACACCGTGTTGTTATCTCCTGGAGGGATTCTAATCAGTTGTTTTCCAGGCTCTTTGAACGTCTCCACGTTTTTCTTTGGCTGCTTTCAGTTCAGTACAAAAACCTTCATCAACTGATCATTGTTGTGTTTGTGCACTTAAACTAAACTTTTCCTTCTAATCCATTCAGGAATGAAAAGTAAACCGTGAAGGAAAGTGTGTAGGATGGAATAAAGTGAAATGACAAAAAACTGTTTTTGGGAGTATATCCAGCAGAGGGTAAAGTTGGTGCAGTTTTTTCTTTTTTTTTTTATTAAACCAAACAACAAAGCTGCTCATAAATCTCCCTGCTGTGATCACACAGTCGTGGCTGAAGTTGCCCTTGAGTATCAGAGTTTTCTTGTGAGCTCAGAATTTCTTTTGAGGCATTTTTTTGTGTGTGCGATTCATGACGGCACAATAAGGGAAACTCACACTTCCTGTAGTGCCCAGGGACAGATGGTTCATCTGCTGGGTGAGAGGGCCCATCATGCTGGCAGGCTGCATGGACATAGTGTGGTCCATGGCTGGCGTGATCACTGCACCCTGGAGGAGGAGGAGAAAAGATAATAAGAACAAAATGATCAGGACTGAGTCATTTCCCCTTCAACTTGACCTGTGGAAACTTTTAGATATCATAAAATCATCTGCTCCTGATAACTGAGTTAGAATTTTCACGTTCATTTTTTTTTTTTGCACTGCTTCATGTTTATATTTTTAACCTCTCTCTGGAAAAAAAGCAACGCTGTTTGCTGATGTGCTCATGACAGTCTGAAAACTTTATTCTGCAAATGTTCTGCTTTGTTGGTAAAAAGTTCAAAATATTGCACATATCCGAATTTATGCAGCTTTTTTGGCATTCTAAATTTACAGGGTCTAAAACAGTACAAGAAGTTGCCAAAGTTGTTCACATAACCTGTTTTTGCATACCATCAAATGTAGAATTTTTCAAAAAGAGTAATAAAATACTTTGTCTTTTTTGGCATGAGCTCGGAGTAGGACACATACTAGTGGTCTCTCTTTTGACAATTTTAACTGAGTTTAACTATGGGTAATGTTGGTAGATATTTCCATATGTATGTCATACATATATATATATATATATATATATATATATA